GCCCAGCCACTAGGGACTTAACTATTACTCTGGGATGCTGAACTACTTCTTCAAAATGTCTCATGAGGCTTAATGTCAGAGACCTGAACTATCAATCATTCAAGACTGTGGGTGAACCTTACAACTTCCTGATAGTTCAGTCTTAAATTCTTTATACACCAACTCAACCTCCTATGTTGTGAAATATTGTGATATATATATATATATATATATATATGCAGGGATATATAAAATGCATATAAAAAGGATATATAAAATATATATAATGAAGGGAATAGATTATATATACTCTCTTCTTTTGGATGCAAGATCTCAAGATGCATCCCAGCCTGGCCTGGAACTCAGCCCACTATGTAGCTCAGGCTGGCCTTGAATTGGCCATTCTCCTGCCTCAGCCTCTCGTGTTGAGACTGCTCAACCATATATATGGTATACTATGACATATTGATACTTGTGTTTAATATGTAGTGATCAAACTTGGGTGGGTGGCATGTCTATCACCCCAGATATTGATCATTTCCTTGTGCTAGGAATATGGAAAATCCTCTCTACTCATTAATGAGGTAAGATTAATGGTTATCAATCATAATTATCCTTCAGGAACATAAGACATAGGAAGTTACTCCTCTTATCTAACTGTATCTATTAACCATATTCTCTACACTCCTGCTTCTCCCAGGTCCTGGTGACCACTAATCTATTTCTGAGATCAATTTTTTAGTCTAGAACACTTTTAACTTCCTTCCTTGAGCCATGACCTATCACCGTGTGCCTATTATGTCATTTTTTAAAAATAAGCTCAATCTCCTGTACTTGCACAACTGGTTTCAAGGCCATCTGCATGTCTAGTGTATCCCTAACCCAACAATTCCATTTGTAGAAATGTGCCCTGCAAAGACAAACACAAATGTGGAAAATATATTCTATAATAATGCTTCCTTTTGCCCTAGAATTGCTCAGGTACAACTGAGTGGCCATGAACTGAAGTGCAATGGGAGGGATCTTCTAATAAATGGGAATTCAGATAGGATGATTTCAATAAGAAGCTCCTGGGTTACTGAGCTCTGGGGTGAGAGAGGACCTGAGCATTCTGGCCTCTTTACCATCTCTATCTCACTGTTTATCCTCCCCTTGGCACAGGGCTCAGATATTCACGGAGAAGGGGATCAGGATTCTGGACGTCAAAAGCTCCGAGATGTGTCAGGAGCCACCTCTGCTGCATATGCGGGAGGAGAGGGAATACAACCAGCTATTCCAGCTTCTGTAGCCATTGGTAGTCGAGGACCTGCCAAAGGGGTAGCAGCAGGGGCATCAGTTGGCACAGTGGCTGCAGGAATAACAACAGGCCCCTCAGCAGGTGTGGCAAAGGTTGGGACAGCTACATGCCCTCCCTCAGGTGCTATAAGCATGGCAGCAAACAAGTCTCCAGGCTCAGGCCAGATAGTCACATCTCTGGCAGGAACAGCCAGCAGCGATTCGGGAGGATGTGGATCCAGCAAGAACCTGGCAGCTGTTGTGAACATATCCACAGAAGTTATAGATGTGGTCTTGGCAGGAGCTGCCAGCTCCTCCTCGGAGTGTACTTCTACAGGAGGCGCTGCCAGTGTCAATCCAGACAGCAACCTGAATGTGGCGTTTGCAGGCACCATGACAACCAAGGGGCCTGCTGCAGACAAACCTGAAGCTCCACTCGTGTCAACCTTGCAGAGTGAAGGCTACATGTGTGAAAGGGATGGAAGCCAGAAGGTTTCACACACTGGCTCTGAACCACGAAAGGAAAAACGGGAGAGACCAGAAAAGAAGGACAGAAATGCCAGTAGGAAAGGTTCCCATCACCGCAGGACAGGGGCAAGTCACCGAAGCTCAGGCAAGGAAAAACCCCGGAAATCATCTTCCCACCGGTCTGTATCCGGCCATGGGAAAACAAGAGAAGACAAAAAAGGAAAAAGGCAAAGCAGCATAAGGGGCAAGAGACGTAGCTCCTCTCACAAGAGTGAGTCCAGGACTGCTCACAAACCCAGGAAGAACCGATCTTCAGCTAGCTCTG